TAGATATTATAGACTACGTAACCGGGATTACGTAGTCTATAATATCTATGATTGAATAGACAACAACTACATGTGTTTACACATCTGACTTGAAAAGAGGTGTAACAACTCCATGTAATAATACAACAGAAGAACATGACAATCAATCAGTGGAGCAGGTACAGTACAGCTGGTTATTATGATATTCTCACGTATGTCTTTGAAAATTTACCAATTTTATCCTGGAATACACCATGATACCTGTTATTATCAACTGAGAGAGTATTAAACTATTTTCAATAAACATAGTGAAAATTATTTAGACAATTTTTTGCTTATGGTTTGTAATTTTAAAATACTGAAATCATAAAGATATAATCTGCCCTTTGCTTTATTCTTCACATTATCTATGCTGGGCACATGACTATATTATATCAAACTCCTAATATACCGATCACCCAATATAGCACCTCTAAAATTACTTATCAAACAGTGATACAGCAATACTTGTAAGTATAGACTCATGTACAACTGCTGGAATGCTGCTACAATTATGGGGAATACTGTCTACTTAAGTTATTTCAATAGTAAGTTTCAATAGTAATTTCTGTCACCAATGGCAACCACTTCTTTACCAGTTGATGAAGTAGATCTCCATCATTCCAAACACTTCTTCCCATTGCTAAGAGCCCACATCAGGAAATGCACTATTGCAAATATACTATGATTATCATTAACTGGGAGAGAGAAAGAATGAAAGATAATAAGCATGTTTAGTGAGTATATATTGAGGAAGTATAGGTTTGAAAGATCACCTGATACTCAGGTTGGTTGTAGATGAACTTGTTTGTCATATTAAAAATACTTCTGCGCATAATTTACTTTTATTTTTGTAGATAGCTATATATCATTAAAGAAGAAACAATTAAGGTCTTACTCAATCTCCAAAAGATGACATTTTTCTAAGAATTATCAAGGCTTGACTCTAATTTTAAATTAGAATTATTAAAAATATAATTTTCATTTTGAAGGAGTTTACAAGCATAATAATTATTTTAAACTCCTCTGGTAAAATAATAATTTTCACCACAATTAATTTTTATTGCATCAAAGTTCAAGAGGCGTGGCATAGGTGTGATTGACCCTGCCTCAAAACCACGTGGAGTCATCATTACTACAGGAATGTAAAGGAGCCGGAGCGTGGCTGGTAGACAGAGCGTGTTTAGTGCTCCTAGTCAGAGAGCTGTTGCAGAGGATAATGAATTCCATGCTTGCCTCAGCTAACTGTCTCTTGTTATTCTTGGAGAGAAGGTTAGAGAGAGAATAGTTTTACCAGCTTGACATGTACTTATCTTGCATAGATGTCTGAGATGAATCCAATCAAAGACTGAGCAAGTTCCCATTTTGTCTGGCCCTGCCTCTTCGTTGCACCACCGCGCAACGATCAAAGAGGAACCAGATTAGTTCCGATTAAATGTGGATTTTTTAATTTGTTCAAAAAATTGGGCCAAAGTCTCTGTACTACAAGTACAGGAAATTTCTTCAAAAATGAAAAGGAGATGATGCAGCATTTTCAAAATTTTTCTGATGTATTGTGTTGCATAGAAAGTTTGAGCTATTTCCGATTCAATTTGGATTTCTTACAATTTTTAAAGTTCCTTCCCATCAATATCAATGATTCATATTAGTTATTAATAGTTATTAATTATTTTCCTCTCTCTCCTCTCAATAGGCTCCAGTCTTGATACACTAGCAGTACTTGGTTCTCATAAAGGTGACGTCATTCCACTAGCTAATGACAGTTCTTTAATATACCTCACTCTTCACTCCTCATCTCAGCAACAATCTCTAGCTCTCTCTTCAGTCTTCAGTATAGAGCCTAACATGGAGTCCTTCCAGTATGATGAAATTGTTGATACTCTTCCACAATATGTCGGGAAGTTGAACGACGTCCTTTTTAAATGGCCACTGCCGTTCACTCTCATTGAGGACGGGATTGTGTGTATCCTAATTAATGCCTCATGCACAGTCCTTAGCCTTGGGTTTTTTTTCAAAAAATGGCTAAAAATTCACCCTCAATTTTTATTACATTTCCTAATACATATTGAATTGATGTCCTTATGCTGTGTAGAAAGTTTGAGCTGATTCCGACTTAAATTTTTTGAGTTAGCCATTTTAAGAAATTTGCCAAAATATAGAAGCACACAAGGCTATAGCCCATGGTTTTTTTTTAAATGGCTAAAAGATCACCCTTAATTTTTATTAAATTTTCTGATTTGTATTGATATCCTTATGCCGTGTAGAAAGTTTGAGCTAATTCCGACTTACATTTTTCAAGTTATGGCCATTTTAAGAAATTTGCCAAAATTTGAAAAATGCCCAAGGCTTGTGCATGTGTATAATGATTCTCCTTTCTTCTCTATCCTCTCCTTTCTTGTTATTATTTTTTCTCCTTGAGCTATGTACATGTACATTAATCATTAATAATGTACTATTATGATCCTTAACTTCATTATTATCCAGTGGTCTACAGTGTCTCTAATGCTATGACCATTGCTGCCATTCATCCACTGGAATACTGTAGAATGTTTAGTTATAACACTCCAGGTAAATATTTACAATTTTATGATAAAATATAAATTAAACTACCTCCTATTCTGCCCATGTTTAGATGGTCCCTCTCTCTTACAAACTCTGTCTTTGTCTTCATTTCATAAAATCTTGGTCTCTCCTGATTTAGGAGTGTCTCTTAATTCATTGGATCAATGTTCCCTCCCACTCAATGTACTGGAGACTGGAACTGAGACATAGTGTCATTCTTCCTTAGGAATAGAGGTAAATGATTCTATTTATAGTAACACTGATACTATTTATAGTACAATGCTATTGATTGTCTCTATGCTATTGTAGTATCATTATGATATACCATTGTCTATTGTAGTAATTGATACTATTTATATTAAACGATGCTAGTGTAGACGTTTGGTAGTGATGTAGTAATTCAAAAATTGTCCATTGCACAAAAATTTGTTGTCAGAATCAATTCAAACTTTTTATTAGCAACAGACAGACAGACATAAATAGTAATAATGATGTATATTGCTTTGCTTGGCTCGTCCCCTTAATGTTTTACATTCATCTTGTAATAATGTATCATTAATAATAATAATAGTTATAAACAGAACGGAACAAAGTAAGATACTATAGGCAGCCATCTTAACACAATAAGTGATAATAGAAAATAATAATTTCAATAAAAAAAAGAACTAAGCAATCAACTGGTTTGATGTACAATATTTATCTCTAATGTTAGTAGCAATAGATTTCTCTTCTATTGTATCAAGTGCTGTAGCTAATGACGACCAACTGGGACCTCCTTTCTCTCTCACTTTATCTTCTCCTCTTAAAGGGTAACTCAACCCAAAAACTTTTTTTGCAGAAATAAGTTGGTAATAAAGAAAAAATCATAGGAAAAATAAGTAAAATTATCAAAAAGTACTGTTTCCATACTAAATCTTGGGTCAGAAGTTGCAATTTCTTGCCTTGCAGCCATTTTGTCAAAATCACTTCCGGTTGTGGGCGTGGTCACGCGATGACGTACATGGGGGAACATTAGCAAGTTTCTGCATTGAAATATTAGCAACTTCAATGCTGGATATCTCAGCTATGCGTGCAAGAAAGCAGCTAAGAGGTATTTTTCAAGTATTAAGAGCTAAACAGAGCTAGTATATACAGTCAAAATTTAAATTTGTCAAATTAATTTTTTTACAAATATATTGATTTTTTACCAATAGTAATGTTTGTAGTAAGCTTTAGATTAGTCCTATATGGTCCACTCATAAAATG